GTCTGAAACATTTTTTTGTAAAACTTATATTTTTCCTGATATTCGGGCGTCCCGGTACTTTCCGAACACCCTGTATATATATATATATATGGATAACGTATAAAATCATACGAATTGGCTTCTTGTGGATATTACTAGTAATAGTTGTAAATAATATATGTAATAATAGTTGTAAAAAATATGGCCGAGACGTTATAAAGTTCAACTGGAAAGAACAAACCTTTGGCCCATGGAGCCAACCTCCTCCTCCTCCGATCTTAAGGCTGGTATTCATGGTCGAATCTTATTTCAAGACCGTAGGTTTGTTCTTTCGACCTGACCTAGGGCTGCACTGGAACTGTACTAGTTGAAGAAAGTTCAAGATAGTGCAGACCAGTGCAAAGATACATATGGGTCTGAAAAGAACGGGTAAGAGCAAGTTAGAGCAGTGTAAGATGGCGGACAACATGGCTGGATTAAATAACATAGATCAATTTATGGTCATGTTTTCGCACTTATAGCATTTTGTTTTGTTGAACAATCCTATTTCTTTTAAAAACTGTTTTGTGTTGGATACCCATACAAAAAATCCCTCCGAAAAAACGTTTAAGAGCCTTCCCAGGATGTCTTTCGGATATTTTGTGCTTTGGATAACATTTTGTGGTTTGGATAACATTCTAAATACTTCTTTTATGTCATTCTACATTATATATTTATTATATATTTATCTACATTATATATTTATTATATATTTAAGTATTTACTTACTGTTTATAGATTCCGTCGTCGGATTATTTCTTCTACGTAATGTCAACTAGGTATACCGATTTTACAGGTTATAGATACAAATTTAAATTTTTTCGGTGAGCTGCCCTGCACTGCTTGCTCTACCTCCAGACCTAGGGCAGTCAGTTCACTGAACTCGCTGCACTAGTTCAGCCTGCACTGTTCGAAAGAACACATTTTCTTGCACTGTTCTGATCGAAAGAACGCATTAGTGCAAACTTCGTGAACTAGTGCAGCCAGTTCAGGTCGAAAGAACAAACCTCGTCTTAAGTAATATCTAAAATGCGAATACGGTTCTGTGATTGGTTCATGATATCTTAAGATAGTATTTAAGATGATATTATGGCTTTTGCACACAACTCAATAACAAATAAAAGAGAAATTATATTTATAATGAAAAATATACTCGTATTCTATAATCTTTATTTAGTCACACTGAATATCACACTGAATATCACAAATTTTGGGTGTATATCAGTTGGACACAGTCCAATCACAAGTCGCTGTTCCAAGGGACCATACAAATGTCTCTAATCACAGGGTGCTGTGATTGGCTGTGTCCAAATGCATCGTGTTCAAGTGCACCGCTCCCACAAATTTTGTATAAAGCTAGTAAGCAGAAAAAATATTCTAATTATAATAAATAATACGAAAGCCAAATGTGGGATGGGAACGTAGAGTTCCTAGGGACTTTTCGTAATAACCTTCTTGCTTTTACGGAAAAACAACATATTGATTGGCTGTCGCGTGAACTTCCGCCACGTGGTAAGCATTACCGCGTCCTGTGTGCAGGAGCCATTAAATATGAGATCTGACTATAAATACCGGCCTTAAAGTGCTATAACTAGGCTAGTAACTTCAAAGTCTAGGTAATTGTTTGCACGCGAATGTATCTTAAAATAACTAAAGATAATTAAACTTATCATAAAATACATCAACAACCACAATTACAAGTAAGAAAATTACATTTGAAACAGCATATTATTTCCGCTATTCTAATTTAGTACTGCCAGACCATTGTGAGCGATGTTATCGTGTTTCCTACTAAAGTTCCTAGGAACTCTACGTTTCCATCCCGCATTTGGCTTCCGTATTATTTACTATAATTAGAATATTTTTTCTGCTTACCAGTTTTATACAAAATTTGTGATATTCAGTGAGACTAAATAAAGATTATAGAAAAAATACGAGTATATTTTCCATTATAAATTTAATTTCTCTTTTATTTGCTATTGAGTTGTTTTAGGCATTCGTATTATTTATAATTAGAATATTTTTTTATTAACTATCAGTTTTATATCTTATATTTTACGAAACTTCTGAAATAAAAGATCTACCGTTTTAATTTTTAAATCTACCGCTTTTTAATATGCTATCTACCGCCAAATTTTTCAACCACCTGGCAACACTGTGGGTGCGTTCGCTTTGGGCGCTTACGCGCTATAAGCGTCATTCTATCTTTATCGCTCATTAGGGAAGAAGATAGAATGATACGGTTAGGCGACAATTTCCCAAAAAGTGGAGAGAAAAATGTTTGTACAAAGGAAAATCTCTATACGATATAATTTAATGATCTGTTTTTTGTAACTGCACTGCTGAACTAATGCAAAGGTTAGAGTGAGAAAACATACTCACTTCAATTTATTGCACCAATTCAGCAATACAGTGAAGTCAGGCACACGGTGCTTGTTTTCGTGCTGCATTGCTTGCTGGATGGAAATACTCTGTTTTGATTGGTGCATTTCCATCCATCTTCAGAAATGCACCAATCAGAACAGAGTATTTCCATCCAGCAAGCAATCCACCGTGAAAGCAAGCACCGTGTGCCGCTGGCTTGACAAAGAACAGGCCTTTAAATTATATCGTGTAGAGATGTTCCTTAGGACCAACATTATCCCCTCCACTTTTCAGGAAATTATCGCCTAACCGATGCTCACAGCACATAAGCGCTCAAAGCGAACGTAGCCTGTACCTAGCGCACAATCGTTTGTCTGTCGTTTATCATCCGTTCGATGTTACTGGGGGTGTCAATATTTTTTTGACATGTCACCGCATTACTATGTTTGCCTTTCACACCTTATCCATAGCTTTTCATTCATAATGTGTTAAACATTCTCAAGAATCGACGGGCGTGCATTCTTAATTCAGGCTGACTGATTTTCCATGTCGTGCGTGTGTCACGTCGATTTCAAATTGATCCGCTCCGCTGATGTCGCGAAGATCAGCGGTATTCTGAGAATAGCAATGGGAAACTCATCTGATTTTTGACAGAAGTTTCAGTCACGACGAATTCCCGCGAAAATCGCAAGCGGATTATGGATTTTCGTCTGTGCTAAATATAGCATTGACAGGCGTCGCGTGAGTAAAATGCATTTTTTATGTCAATTGTCTTTCGGATTTTAACATAATGCCTTGATTTTCCAGCGTGTCGCGCTGTCAGTGAGAGTGGACGAAAGGGAATGCGGACGGTAACCAGTTTGTGTAAAAATGGTACGTGCATAATTTTCCTTTCTTGCAAAAGCATATGCAACATATGATTAACCTCCAATTCATTAATTTACTTTACAAACGTCTTATTATAAAATTTTCCTTACTGTTTAAAGCATCCTAGTGACAATTTAAAATGCAATTTTGTAATACACCACACATTGTAATTGTGTCATCAAAATGATAAGTTTGAAAATTTATACTAAAGTAAATGTCGTGGAATTGAATATCTTCTAATGATTGAAACATTAAAAATATATTTATATTTCTAAAAGGCTCTTTGAAATTTTATTAAAAGATATTTTTTATATATTTAGCTGTAATATTATTTATTGAGCATTCAATCATTGAGTGTGTATTATTTGGTAATTGGGATATGATACATTTTGTAATTCAATTACTACTGCATACAGGATTATCTAATATCTCATTAAGGTTATAATTGATATTTATTGATTATTTTATTTCCTGTCATATTTTTCGGTCGCTGACACCAAAGTTTTATATAAATATTAATTTCGTTAGTAATCCCATTAATTATTTATTAATAAAAATATACAACTGTATTTTTGATTAGTTTAATCATTGAGACATTTATTTTATATATGAGTTATAGATTCAGTGCTGACAGTGAATATTGAAATGCAGCCTGTAAAAATATGAACATGCTTTAATATATAAACATGCTTTAATATATAAATTAATTATTTTACTACCAAATTTATCAATTCAATAGATTAAAAGTCTAGATTGTGACATATATAACAATAGTATTATTACACTTTCTAATGAATCTTGTACTCTACTTCCAGTATATAAAAGATAAGTAAACCAGGGAAGCTGTAAATATGATAGTGTAGTCACCTATACAAAATGAGATTCAACAAGCAAGAATTATTGACACTAGCTACTCAGCCTTCACAGAAATTCGAAAAGGAAGGTATCCTGTATGTAAGAGAGCGGCAGGAAGGCTTCTTTCGCAAAACAGAAAGTGAGTGCTTATAATATTCAATACACACACACATACACAAGATATCCATTTAAATAAAGATAAACTCAGCATATTTTGCAGTATACAAATCGATGCATGACTATCCCTTATTTATATTGTACATGTCCGAGGCTTGACAATAAACTTATGTAATGTACAAATTCCTTGTTTGGTGTTTAATGTAGAGCCCATCATCTTATTCGGACTGCTACATGTTATGAGTAAGAGAAGGCTGCATTCAATTGGAGCTTTGTTTTGATAAGGAGAGGAACCATTGTTTTTAATATAATTCGGAGTATTTTCTGTTTTATTGATTAGAGCTTGCCGTTTATTATTAACACGTATACACATCGTTAGCAGTGTAATACATATTAAACGTAGGTATGATAAGAATGTGTTGCACGAAGTAGAGTTTAGAGATTTCTGCAAGCTGTGCTATGAGCGGTTCGATATCCTGATAATAACGGCAGAGACATTGATATTTTACCTTATTTTTTTATATTGAAGTATTGCTTTGCACGAAATGAAACATTTTTTTGTTGTACATTAAGTAATGGCAGTATCAATGGACTTCATAAAGACATTGAGAGTAAAGAGCTGTGTCTATCTGATCAATACTGGTTAATAGTAATTTGTCACATGGAATTTCTCATGTATTTTTTATGTTTTTTTCTATTCATCGCGCGCGAATTCGGAAATTAACTCATAGTTTCTCTATCATCCACAGTTTTCTTCAGCGACGATCGTCTAAGATTTAACATATCATATATAGACATTTCATGCAATTCATAATTTGATTTAAATTTAAATTTGTTATATTGAGTAGTTATCAGTACAAAGTATCTCTTCTGTAAAAAGTTCCTTCATATAAGCAATATGTTTCTCTGTAAAATCTAATATAAATATATTCATATAAGTAATATATTTATATAAATTTATTGAGGGTAAAGATTTTCTTTAGGTAACCAAAAAAGGAAATTTTTACAAATAAAAAAAAATAAAGATATCAATATAAGGTTTTGATCATATTATTTATCATTGTTTGAAATATAAAATATACCAGATATCTCTAAGATAGGGAACATTATAGCTCGTATAATAATCTAAAACAAATGGGACAAGAAAATTTAAAAAATGCATGGAAAAAACAGTATGATTAGTTCACACATAAATCTGGTTGTGTTAATAAATTTGAGTCAAGTATACTCATTTTTCTATGTGTATTAAATTTGTTAGTGGATAAATCTAAATCTTCTGGAAAATTTCCAAAATTATTATTTTTCCAAAACAGTAAATAAACAAGAAATGGAAAGAGAGAAGGGGGAGGGAAAAGAAGAGAGGGAGAGGGGGGAGAGGAGAAGACAAAGAGAGAATAACTTGTAACTTCGAAATATTACTATTTTGTTAAATTTCAATTTTCCACATATAATAAGGTTTATCACCCAGCAAAATTAATGTAATTTTTAAATTTTCTTGTTTCATTCGTTTTAGATTATTACACAAGCTGTAACATTGTCTACTCATTAGAGATGTTTGGCGACACCATGCTCAGCAAAAAACTTGAACAAGATTTTAATTTTTGCATACTTAGAACAACTTAAAACAATTGTAAACATATTTTAAACAATTGTATACTTAAAATAATTTTTTTTATATTTAAAACAATGATGAATAGTATGATTAAAATTCTATATTGATATCTTTATCTCTTTGAAAGAAATTCGTGAAAACCTTTTATTTTTCGGTTATCTAAACCAGAACTTTATTTTAAGATTAAAAATTTTTGTCAATTAAGATATGATAAAATATGATAAGAATTGAATTTTTTTTTAAAGAGATATCACAAATTAGATATAACAGAGAAAATCAGTAGTTTTTATATTTCGAATTAGGTAAGTTATGTCATATACATATAGAGGAAATCAATTTTCTTAAAATTTAAAAATCACATCACTGGAAAATTATGGGTGATAGAAAAAATGTGTTTACATTTTCTAATTTAATATAAAAAAAATTACTATATACATCACTGTATCCATCCAAAAAAGAGATTTTGTTGATCATATGTTATATATACTATTGTTGATTATGTTATATATACTATTTGAAATATGAATATTATTAAAATATTTGAGTGTTAAAGTAAAAATGTTTGAATAATACACAGCAAATAACATGAAACGTATGAAAATTATATTGTAATCGTTTCATTTGATAATTATCGGCAATCGATATGATAAGGCACGATTACTTATATAATAATGATATAATAATTATTTGTAACGATATGTAAATGAATCAGCTGATAAAAAGAGGTCAGCAAATTTTCATTTTTTTTTCATATGGAATCAGCGTAAATTGTAAATCGATGTGTCGTGACGTCATCGTGCAAGAAAATATAAATTAGGTCACTCATCTTTTCTTTTTTCTTGTGTATACTTGGAATGTCATTGTGGCAGCTGTCAGTTAGCCTCGTGCAATTTCCAGGTACAGGTAAAAAACCAGAGAACAAAAATCAAAGAGGAAAATCGCATAAGAGTCTACGAGACCTCAATTGCGTTACAGCCGGCGTGAGCAAAGGTACATCATTCGAGAGCATTTTCTATACACACATATATGTTTTTAATTGGAAGCCTTACATTTTCATCACAATTTCTACCTAATTAACACACCTTTAGGCGACTTGATTGATCTTAATTAACGTATGTTATTAACGGATGTATTTTTTACATTCACAAGAGATTTGCAAGAGCGATGAGATGCACGCTTTAATGGAATTGGTCACGCATTTAATCGGACACATTAAAATGATGTAAAAATCGGAAATTATTGGACACAATTAGAACTCACTAATATTTGATCTAATACGTAATCATGGCTAATATATGATCATAACTTCCATTTATAGAAATTACTAACTTTCTTCGATTTTCTTATTCTCCGTCAGTGATGCAAGTGATGTAGTGCATGTAAAGTATTTGTGCTAAAATCTCGACCCTCGATTTATCAAAATAAAATAAAAAATGTGTATTCAATATTGATATGCTACTTAAATTGTTTCGTTCTTTATATGTTTGTACTTGAGTTTTCAATTAATTAATACACAAAAAATGTAAGTTATACGATTATTCGATTCTGCCGAAAGAATTAAGTATAAAATCTGCACCACTTGACAAGCGACGTTACAGAAAAACATTTAGCGAATCGGGGGTTGATTGCATGTTAAAAAATAATGCTTTGCACGTTATGCATATATCTGTATTTAGATAGAAACTTTTCTTATAGAAACGATAAAAAACTATGGCACTTTAATCTGCGAATATTCGTGCATTACGAGATATGCGTTGCTTTAAATTCAATTGGAAAATATATTAAAGAGACGTTGCTTTAAATGTCCATAAAATTATATATATTTATAGTGGATTACAAAGGGTATTTACGTACCTCATGGGAAAAGTAATTTTATTTAGAATATAGCTCTCATATAACGCAAACACTCGTACTTTAGAATCGTATCGATCTTATTGATCCTAATGGGAAGGACGAGGAGGTAGGAGAGATCAAGGTTTACACGAAAACTTAATAATTGAACGATGGTAAGGGCAGCTAGTCTCACGAGAAGATATTTCCACTTTCAAAAGGGCGCGTCTTCAAGGAGCGTCATTTACGCGTCATTATTAAAATATTCCGTAAAAAATTAAAAAAAATTCTCTTACTTTCTTTATTCAATTCTTACTTTCTTACTTTTTTACTTAATTCTTACTTTCTTCATTCAATTAAAGCTTATTGTCAGAGGAGTTCTTTTCAAAAATTGCCAAGTAACAGTATAGTATGATGCCAGATAACGTATTAGTGACATCTTTAACATCATTTAATATCATCATCTTTGCTGGAATGTTACTGCTGTACAGGAAAACGGATTACGTCCGCACTATACACACACGCGTGCGATGGACAAAATTTCAATAAACTTTAAAAAAAGTTGTATTGTTACATTACATATTTTTGTTTTTGTAAAAATTATTTGTAAAATTATTAGTTTCTACTATAGTAATAATTTGTCAGGATTAGGTAATCAATTAAAAGTTAAGTTAAAAAGTTAATAACTTTTAAATTAACTTAGTTAATTTTGCATAAGTGGACTTCCGACTTAAATTATTTTAAAATGTATTAACTTTTAAGAAAAATTAGTAATGCCAGAAGAATTTTTTTTATTTTTCTCAGTATTTTTTTTTAAATCTGAGTAAAAAATTTTGCTTTGCATTATTAACTTCCGCGTAGAATCATATTTTTTGAGACAATCTACGTTTGCCACCTTTTTTAATTTTGAATTATAACTTTATTATTATAAATAACTATAATTATTATCTATAACTTTATTGAAACTTAATATTTTTATACGTACACGTAAATATATATATATATATATATATATATATATATATATATATATATATATATATATATATATATTATATACACACAAGCGCGCGCACGCGCACACACACACACACACGTTCTATGAACGTTCATAGAATAATCTCGGAGAATGTTTGAAATTCCTAGAATATTCTCACATAATACTTCGGAATTCTTGTGAATCTTCAATGGAACGTTAGAAGTAGACAAAAAGTCATGTTCTATGAATGTCCTATAAATATTCTACAAAATATTTTACGAATATTCTAATCACCCTCACAGCACATTAATATTGCCATAATATAGCAACTTTAAATTGTAAGACAGTAACATTATACGGAGGTTAATAAACCTGCCATTAACCTTCTAATAACATGAAAATATTCGTCCGTACTCATTCCATTAACATTACAGAAACTTTGTATGGAACATTATATTAACAATTAATAACAAAATAATTTATATGATATATCTTAATTTTTCAGTTTATGTTGATTTTAAATGATGTTTAGCTCTTCTATTTGATTTCTAATTATTTTCACACCCGAAAATTTACTCAGTACTAGTCGGACGTGAACTCGAGAACTTCAAGTATCTTTTGGTTTCTAGTCTATTATCTTGGTTGCTGTGGCTACTTTTTCAATTGATGTGTTTTGTTATCCCCATATTGTTTTATTATCCCTCATTTGTTTTATTATCCCCATATGTAAGGTTATCTTGTAAAATTAATGGTAGATTGCAGTAACATGCTTAATAAAATATGTAAGCTTGTAACCTACCCATAACCTTACTACAATGTTCGGTGCTGTGAGGGATTTATCAAAATGTTATCAGAATATTTTGACAACTTAACAAATAATATTCTAATAACATTTATAACATTCTTAAAATCATACAAGAATACTCTTTCCAAATATTTTCTGTGCATAAAAATCATGTTAGAATATTCTTCGAATATTCTGTGATGTTTTGATAGAATATTCTGAAAACTTAACAAATAATATTCCAATAATATTCAGAACATTCTTTAAAACCATATAAACCATATGATCATATAACCATATAACCATATAAGAATATTAGATACTAGATTTGAGGCTTTCACGGCCATTGATACAATGTCTAGATATAGCTTCCGGAATGGAGCCGTGTCTTGAATCAGCGATATGCCGACGTTTCGCAAACGTTGCAGTTTGCATCATCAGGGCTGAGAACTCTGATACTGAGCTCCCTTGGGTAAAGGTAGTCCTTATATGCCCCCCTCCTCCCCTTTGTGTAGATGGTGTTTAGGGAGTAGGGGACGAGGCTTGAATCCAGCCAATCAGCGTATTTTAATTGATCAGCTGATCAATTAAAAACCGGGAGAGCAGTATGCCAAATAGAATTTACTTGCATATCTTTGTCTCGGTTGAGGTCGTGAAGGTCTAGAAATTTTGAAACATCCCAATAACCTCAACCGAGACAAAGATATGCAAGTAAATTCTATTTGGCATACTGCCCTCCCGGTTTTTAATTGATCAGCTGATCAATTAAAATACGCTGATTGGCTGGATTCAAGCCTCGTCCTCTACTCCCTAAACACCATCTACACAAAGGGGAGGAGGGGGGCATATAAGGACTACCTTTACCCAAGGGAGCTCAGTATCAGAGTTCTCAGCCCTGATGATGCAAACTGCAACGTTTGCGAAACGTCGGCATATCGCTGATTCAAGACACGGCTCCATTCCGGAAGCTATATCTAGACATGATATAAGAATATTCTTTTCGAATATTTTCAGAATGTTTTGTGCTGTCTGGGTATATGCATAACACACACGCGCGCGCACGCACGCACGCACGCACGCATGCACAACACACACACACACACACACACACACACACACACACACACACACACACACGGTGTATACCTATAAAATGCGGATTTTGTAAGGAAAAACACATGTTAATTTGAAGTGAATGGTTAAAGCTATTTGAAGTATGCGCCATTCGACGCTACAACTTTTTCCCATCTTTCTGGCAAAAGATGGATTCCGCGACGATAGAAACTTTCATCTTTCGAAGCAAACCATGAATCGACTCATTTTTTCACTTTTTTGAAATTAGCGAAGTGCTGCTCAGCCAATCCGTGCGCTATCGACCGGAAGAAATGATAGTCCAAAGGAGCAATGTCCGGCGAATACGGCGGGTGAGGTAGCACATCCAAATTCAATTCTTTTAAAGTTTCCTTGACAACTTTTGTGGTGTGGGCCGGCGCATTGTCATGTAGCAAAATCACTTTTCCATGTCTTTGGGCCCATTCCGGACATTTTGTGATCAATGCATTCAAATTGATTATTTGTTGTCGGTAGCGAGTAGCATTAACCGTTTCACCAGATTTGAGAAGTTCATAATAAACAATACCCTTTTGATCCCACTAAACATATAGCATTGTCTTCTTTCCGAAGCGATTTGGTCTTGCAGTCGATGTTGATGGTTGGCCTGGATCAACCCATGATTTTCTTCGTTTGAGATTCTCGAAATATATCCATTTTTCATCACCTGTGACGATTCGATACAGAAAACTCTTCCGTTGGTGTCTTTTCAGCAGGAGTTCGCTGGACTTTTCGATTCTCCATCTGTCTTTCAGTCAAATCGTGTGGTACCCATTTTCCTTCTTTTTGAATTTTTCCCATCGCGTGCAAACGCTTGCTAACATTTTTTTGAGTCACATTTAATACTTCCCCCAATTGTGATTGAGTTTGAGTAGAGTCTGCGTTCAACAATGCTTGCAATACTGCATCTTCAAATTTTTTCGGTGGTTTTCCCTTAGCCTTGTCTTTTACTTCAAAATCACCAGTTTTGAATCGATTAAATCAACGTTCACAGGTATCATAAGATGGTGTATGTCCGCTGTAAGCTTCTATAAATATTCGATAAGTTTGAGCAGCAGTTTTCTTCAAAAGGAAGTAATGAATCAAAACCTCCCGCAAATGGTCTTTTTTTGGTACAAAATTCAACATTTTCAAAGCAGAAAAAGACTATGATATTTACACTCACAATTTTCCACATGTATGGTTTTGTAGGTTAGGAGTAGCCAAACAAAATACAATATATGTCAAATCTCCACGCGTAAGAACGTATGTGTAGCACCATCTGTTAGGAAAATCCGTATTTCATAG